CCTAGCACCACTGGCTCCTACTAGCTGCCAGACCCACTAGCCCCTCAGGCTCTTGATGGTGGCCTGGAGTTTAAACAGTAAGGTTAACTGATAAGCTAATGCTCATCAGTTAACCAGTTAAATTCTTACATCTGTAGTAAGGATGTGAGGGTATGTCTACACCTCACCTGTTTCTTCATCTCCTGCCAGCAATCATTCAATCCTAACTTAATATCGTCAAGCCACCAAGATGCGTGCTAGTATTGATATTTTGGCTGCTTTTCTCTTATTTAATGAGGATACAATGCTGGTGCACACTCACCATCTGCCTCACATTCACATGTGTCTAACATGAAGCAGCCCAGAGAATGAATTTCAGATCAGTCCAAATACAGTCAGTATCAGGGCATGCTATGTGGTAGTTAGCAAGCACTGATTGGTACAGGTGAAGTATTGGTCTAGTAACGAGATATGTATACAGGAAAAGGTTAAATAGCTCTGCACTATATCCTTCTGATTGATTGATAATCTCTTCTGTTCCTACCTTAAATATATTAGGGAAAAATATCTAGAAATTTGGATTAAAAACTGTGAAGAAACAAAAGAATTCACTTGGCACAGGTCAAATTAGGCAAGATGTTTTTCTTCTCTCTCACAGACAGATAGACACAGAGCTGTGTTCCAAATCCTTTACTCACAAATTTCACAAGTTATTTAACAGACTATAAACTAATCTGTGTGGAATATTTATTCCCCTCCCCCCCCCCAACCAAAGTTTTCCCTTGCCCTAATATTTCTGGTATCTTATCAAAGTCTTAAATTTCCTTAATACTTTCTTCAATAAGCCACTCTTTTGAACGTGGCTGTAATTTAATATGTCTAGTGAGGATTTGACTCTCAATTTAGCACAGAGAGTAATCAGAAAATCTGGGTCATCTAGTCCATTACATCAATTAGGTCATCTAGTCCATCACACCAATGGAACAGGATTGTTTCCTCTACCGTAGGTCTTCATGTTCTTTGTCTAGTGTCCTTTTCAACATCCCAAGCAAGGGGGCAGACTCCATTTCCCTCAGATGACTATTGAAGAGTTGAAGAAAGCTCAGAAAACTTTTATGCAATAAAATGAGATTTTGAAGACCATGTAGTTAAAGCATCTTTTCAGAGCCATCATTAAAGCACCTCATTAAAGTGAAAATGTATTTTAAATGTACATAAAAAAATGTGCATGTTTACATTTCATGTGCATAGATATATGTGCCATGTACTCATATGTATTTAAAAAAAATACTTTGAGAAAGGTGTGATACAAACCTTTTTGCCTTTTGCTTTGTCTCTGATGACCACTTCCTCCTCCTTTCTAGAAGCCATTTCCTCTTCCTCTTCCTCCTCATCAGGAAACTCAGGTGGGCAGCCATATAATTCCATTTCTCTTTTCAGCTTATCTGCACATGCCTAAATAAAAAGTCACTGATAACCTATTAGCAGTGCTCGACAAATAATGCAATCTACTCACCTGTGGCGAGTAGATTGCAACCCGGAAGAGCCGGGTTCAGGCGATCTGTGCATGCGCAGAACAATTTGCCCATGTGCAGCTCGCTGGACAGAGCAGCTGGCGAGCAAGGCTCGCCGCAGTTCGGCTATCCCTGCCTATTAGAATTGCACAGTGGTTAAAGTTGGAACACTTTTCAATGACTGATTTTTATATCAATTATTTATGTACTTCAAAGATTATATTGATAATATTTTCTTGAGTCTCTCAGGACTCAACTTTTGAACTTCTTTTATAGCAATTTGAACCATTTCTGGAGACTCATATGCTACGTCTAGACTACAAGCCTCTTTCAAAAAGAACGCCTAGAGTACAA